AGGGGGACAGCCAGTGGGTAGGGTTGGGGGGCTGCGGAGAGGGGGACAGCCAGTGTGGGCTGGTTGAGGGGAGAGGGCTGGCCAGTGGGTGGGGGCTGCAGGGAGGGGGACAGCCACTGAGGAGGGGGCGGTGTGGAGGGAAACAGTCAAGCAGGGCCAGGGGGCAGGTATGGGCCTTGGCAGGGCTGGTGGGGGGGGCCTGACAAGCCCCACAGGTGAGGGCTTCTCTTGCCCCCACCCATGTAAGTGCTGGAAGGGAAGTGCTTATTACTCTAAGGAGAGACTGCAAGAATGTTCTTGGCCTTTATAAAACCTTCCCTAGGAATAAAGTCCTGGAGAGGAAGGAAACATAAAACAGCAACCTCAGCACTCATGCTGTTTTTCCACTGAAAAGTGCTGTGGCTCTCGCCCTCCTGCCACTCCTCCCTGCCCACCCCCGCCCGCCTGTGCCCCCAGCCTCCCCTCCCCTCAAGGTCTGGGCTCCTAGCCAGTGCCAGAAAGGGAAGTGACGTGTGGGAGGACAGATCTGTGCACACTGGTCCAGGCATGAAACAAGTCCTTCCGAGGCTGGGCCTGATGGTCTATCCTGCCTTGGCCACTTCCCAGCCTCAGGCCCAACAGGACACTCAGGCTCCACCACTCCCTCCCACCTGTCCCCAGCCTTGGGGCATCTGCCCTGCAGAAGGGTCTGGCCTCCATGCTTGGCCACTGTGAGCTGCAAACCGCTTACATCCAGAGCATGCCTGGCACACAGCAGGCGCTCGATAGATGTCTTGGCATACTATGTACAGTCAGCTTAACTTCCTTCTTAGTTTTCGGAATAATAACGCAGGGATGCAAGTTCTGATTTATTTTCCAGGGTCGTGGGCATCACCCAGTGATGTCCCTCTCCTCTACCTTAGGGACCATCCCAGCCCTCACCTAGCCCTGGAGGCCAGTTCCAGGGTCACCTCCCACAAGCCCACTCAGCCTGTCAATGACGGGCCTCTAGTGTCCTTTCTGTTGCCAGAACCCTCATGCTCCAAGGCCCCACCCAGAGGTCACTGCCTCCAGGACTTCCCCTGGCAGGACCTGACCCTCTCTCCTACCACAGGAGGTCACCTCTCAGGGCCAGCCCATTTCATTCCAAGGTAGCTCTAAGTGCCCAGCTTCCTCTTTCTATAGAGCCAGAGTCGGTCTACCTCGAGCTGCCCTGGCCAGGCCTCTCCCCAGCCACCCAGGGCAAACTTGCCGCTCCCTCAGCCCTGGCCCTTTGTCCACAAGCAACTCTGGGATGCCAGGCCCTGGACCGCAGCCTCCCAAGACTGGTCACCGGGTTGGAGGCAGTGGCAAGAGCCCACTGCTAGTGGCCAGCCTCCTGGGGCCCACTCTGGGAGATCTTGTTTCCAGACTCATGAAAGATGCAGGGATAGGAGGCCTGAGGGGCAGACACAGGTATCTACTTTCTGCAGGCTGTAAGTATTCACAATGAAATACAAACGAGGCAGCCGATATAGAACTAATAGCGGGCAGCTGCTTTGCTTTTATGGTGTGTATTTTTAAGTTTTAATTTGCAGGTGGGTGGGCCCTGCTGCCTGCAGCTTGGCCTAAACATTCCAATACTTGCCTTCACCGTCAGCTGCTCCTAAGCAGCAAGTTCACTTGGGCCAAAATCCTAGATGTGAGATTGTACAGGAAAAGCAGGGCCTGGTGCTACTCTCAGGTCGTTCCATGCCCACCTGAAGCCCCTCTGGGGTCTCCCACGCTAGGCTTCCCACTGTACTCTCTGGGTCCCCTCCCAGGCTGCCGAGGGTCTGGGTGCAGATGGCCCATGCATGAGGGCCTATGCCCAGTACTGAAGTTGTCGCCAGCTCTGCTCTTGTAAAGCTACCTGGCTGGTCACACCCCATCACACATGTGCCCCACTGGGTGCAGGGCTTCCCAGAGGTTGCTGGCCTGCAGCGGGCATGTGCTCTGAGTTTCATAAACCACAAGTGCCAAAGTACCCTCCCTAGAGGTTGCCCTAATGCTCACTCAGGTCTCCTTCTCAGAAACTGTGGTAAAGAGAAGAAAGCCAGGTGCAGACCCTGCGAGAGGCTTCCACCTTTTGTGGGGGAACATATACATGTACATATATGTGCATATATAGAAACACATATGCACATAAACACACACGCACGAAACACATACACACACGTACATACACAATGCACACATGCATATGCACACACACACGAACAGGCATACATACATAGACATGCACACAATACCACACACATATACACACACACACATACACAAACACACACGTACACAGCACACACGTACATACACAATGCACACATCTGCATATGCACACACACACACACACGAACAGGCATACATACATAGACATGCACACAATACCACACACATATACACACACACACATACACAAACACACACGTACACAGCACACACGTACATACACAATGCACACATCTGCATATGCACACACACACACACACGAACAGGCATACATACATAGACATGCACACAATACCACACACATATACACACACACACATACACAAACACACACGTACACAGCACACACGTACATACACAATGCACACATCTGCATATGCACACACACACACACACGAACAGGCATACATACATAGACATGCACACAATACCACACACATATACACACACACACATACACAAACACACACGTACACAGCACACACGTACATACACAATGCACACATCTGCATATGCACACACACACACACACGAACAGGCATACATACATAGA